CGAGCAGAAGACCATTAAAATGGAGAGGATCAAATACACTCCCAGCAAACCAGCCCAGAGAAAACAATAAAATAATTTTCTTATTTATTAATATAGTTAATTGTTTATTTACTTTATCATACAATATCTATATATATAATGAGAATATTTACCATTTTTCAAACATAGTAGGTCAAATACAGGTCAAACTAAGTCAACATTAAATACTTACCAACTTGAGTAAGTTTAATAATTATGGGCCACCATTTACGATCAACAATAAATTCTTCTAAAATTATGGGTTTTGCCCTACTAATCGATTTCCATATTTTATCTCAGGCTACCAAAAAAATCGCAAAGGATCATCGGGAAGAAAAAAAAAATCAATTTTGATATAGATTTCAAATGGAAATTATTTAAGAATGAGAGAAAATCGGACGAGATTATTTCAAGCGGCCGAGGTTCCATAAATGAACCAAACCCTATAATTTTTAACATCACGATTTTATACTAATTTTGTATCGTTCAAGGCCGTCCGATATTCATTGACTTAATCTAAGTCGTCGGATTATATTGTAGGTTTTAACTTAAGCAGGATCATTGAATTTTGTGGCCCATTTGCCAGACAAGCTCGCTAAATTGTATATGTATGGGTCGGGTTATTAATATTACCTATGTTGGCCCTATTTCATTGTAAAATGTGTTTTTTAGTATATAGCAGCCAAATATTAGTGAAAATATTTACATTTAATTTTTTTTGCAAATTAAATATGATTAATAAAAATAAGTAATAAAATTTTATTGTCAAAATTTTTTATTATTGAAATTGTGAAAAATAATAATACATATTATTTTATAACAATTCTACTACACTATTTACAAGTATTCCTTTTTATTATGTAAAAATTGTTATTGATTTATATGTAATTTGTAGACAAACATTTAATACATAAGAAACGAAAAAATTTATTTTTATTATTTACTATGTATATGAATAATTATTTATTATCCACCAACCAATATTACTTAATCTAATAAAAACAAACTATTACTTAATACATATCAACAAACATTCAAATTTTACTATAATTATATTATTTATATTTTAGTGTCCTTTTAATAAAATAATATATTTATTGCATATTTAGTTACA